ATTCATTCAGCATATGTATATGAAATTTTTTATTCCATTCACAACTTCACATCCCCCCCCCTCTGTGGATGACCATGGATAGTGAAGACATCCAGCTTAAAGTTCAACAGAGCAGAATCATGAAATTTAGGTGATCCAAGCCAAAGGTTATATATTGTGCTTACCTAAGGAAGCACATTGTTGAGAAAATGGCTAAGCTGTTGGCAACAAAGAATACTTCACCAGAAGCAAACCAACCAGCTAGAGCCTAAAGCTCCTGATGGACAACTTCCACAATATCACCAATGGATTCCCATGACCAACTACCCAAGTGAAAAGACCAAAGTGATGACAATGGGGAAGATTTCATCTTATCTCCATAACTTTATTCATGAAAATCATCAAAAAAAATTTATTAGGCAGTTTAAGGGCATATGAAAGAATTTTTTTTATCTTCATCAAAGTTTTGACTATGAATATTAATACCATTAATTGTAAAGACTTACTTGATTACTAATTACAGAAAGTAAAGGTATCACTTATATTTGATATAAAAAGAATGTTCAACCTGGGTCAAGTTGGGACTTCAAAATTCAGAAAGAGAGTGGGGACAGTGTATACTTAAAGTCTATGTTTTTAATATCCTAATTTAAAGATTTGTACTGTTCACTACAGTATTAGTGTATACAGAGTTATAATGTGACATGACAAGTACAGATGTCTAGAATTTTGAGAGTCTGAAAATGATTTCAATTGCTCAAACTGATAAACACAATAGGCAAGAGGTAGTTATACTATTACTGAGTTAGTCAGTTAGTGTTACCAACTAGCTATGAATAAATAATGCATAACTAAAAGTTCAGCAAATAAAACGTTTCTGTTATCTTTAAGTTAAACTTTAAGGGTACTGAAACTTACATTACTTTCACAAAACAAGAAAAAAACACACCAAATAATACAAATAGTATCTTAAGGCTTTAGGCACAAATATATATATACTTAATAATACTAACATTCAACATAAATAGCAGTTAGCTATTTATAAGTATAAAAAGACAAAGTAAACTTCACAAACATGTGTGTGTGCAACATCTTACAAGAGAACTTGTGTTATAACTTATATAAAATCTTCTTTGAGTTTGGTATTTATGTACTGATAAGGCCAATCCAAGATTCAGTTTCAAGATGTATAGATAAGCGTGTACTGTAGATATTATATTTATTGAGCTATTCACTTAAGATATATTTCATTTAACCTTTTGGTTTTATATCTATACAATATTTTTACTTACCTGTACAGGTAAGTATGATTCATATAACTTCAATAGATATTCTTTTTGGCTTCAGTTACCATGATATTAAACATTACTTATATATACTGTAATTAGTATTTATAGTTGTATATCCATTTTCAAATGCTAAATAATTTACTAATTGTTATGCTTTCATAGAAATTAGAAGTTAACATAACATAATGTTTTGGGACAACATAGGACTTATTGGTCCATCTCAGCTGTTCCACACTCTAACATAAAAAAAAACACTTAAAGCCATTATTATCATTCATTTACTTATCAAGCTTTTTCTTAAACTCATTTAAATTTACTGCCTCTACAACATCTGAAGGCAAACCCATTCCAAAAGCCAACCAACCTGTTACTGTTAGAAAAATATAACTGTTATAGCTGAAAATGACTCCTACCCTGCCAAAATTTATACGTGTCCCCTAGTCCTACTATTCTCACTGTTAAACATGAAAAAGATGATGCATCAAAACTATCAATTTCTTTTAGTTTTACAATCTTAAACACCTAAATCATATCCCCTTAACTCTCCTTTTTTCAAGAAAAAACAACTTTAGAGATTTCAGCCTCTCCTGATATGACAACCTCTCCATCCCAGGCATTATTCTAGTACCCTTCTATGAACCCTTTCCAACAATTCGATGTCTTTCCTAAGGTAAGACTTAAGGAGCCCAAGACTGAACACAATATTCCAAATGTGGCTTAACCAGTGACCTGTACAACGAAATTATAACCTCTTTAAACTTATCATTAACTCGATCAAAAATTAAATCGAGAAATAGTTAATGCAGCTGATTTGGTAGTTTAAGATAGCATCTAAGAAATGTAGGAAAATTCAAAAATTAATACTAACTTATGAAAGTAAAGAGACTTACAGTACTTTTTCTTAACACGTTCTTAAGCTTCTGATTTAAGAGTGCATGCAAATAATCTCTGCACGTCAAATAACACATCTTTCCAAAACCAAAACCAGTTTTGTGTACGACGTTTAACGGACTTACTCGAGTGGCGGCGCTGCTGTAAGGACGCTCTTTATCGCAGCTCCGGCAGTACTTGTACACTGGATAAACGTCTACAAACGACTCCAACCGCCAAAGAGTAGGCAGCAACTGCGGAGTCTTTCCGGTGACGCCTGCTCCTTTACCTCTTTCACTTGCTGATTGTTATCAATTACGCCAAATTATTCTTCTCTCAGAAGCACATACACTACAGTACCGAGCAACAATCATACACCTCATGCGGGACGAAGGAAGATAGTTTATCTTCGAGCACTCCAGATGTGACTATTGTGGTGCCGACAGTCGAATAGTTCTCATCCAAATTCTTACCAGACTTCAGTGCCGTCTTAAGGCACGGGTTAACTGTGATGCATGTACTACAGTAGCCACGAACCTTCCAGGGGCCCCAATACAAAATATTATTACTTCAAGTGATGCGATAAACTGTGTTTGTTTCCGCTGTCCGAGCCGAATTCTCATGAAGACGATTAATTTCTGCATTTTGTATTTATAATGAGATGAAAGCTATCGTTTTGTAGATTTCTGTGGTTTATTTTTAAAGTAACTATCATTCTTGTTTATTATACCCAATAAAACCTCATGTTTTCGCATCTTAACTGCTGCTGAAATCGCGTATTTTTGTACGTTTCTTTAATTTGACTTGTGTAATATCAGTTAGCAGCCGCACATTCGCCATTTTCTCCACCATTTTGTAATATTCATTTTGTTCCACATTCGTTATTGCTTATAAACTTTTATCTTTTATGAAATATAGTTATTCTTGTGATTACCCCAGTATATTGTTAGAATGAATAAGCGGTTCTATCAAAGTGATGCTGCAAAATAAAAGTGTTGAAAGAAAAAGAAGAAACAGCTAAATTACCAAAATTTACTTCATTTCTTCTGTGAGCTCAACAAGTTTTATCTCCAGTGAAAAAGATAATGATGTGAATGTTACTGCTTCATCATCTACTGATGGTGCAGATCATTATCAACACAAGGTGTACTATTCTACACAAGGTAATATCGGAAGTACCACAGTTGACAACTCCAACAAGCGCTTCTACTGAAACAAATCCATCAACTGATCCCGCATTGCAGCATCCTATCAGAAATGAGCTACGTTATTTTTGGGATAGTAACGGTCCTTCATTATGCCAGAATCATGATTGTGATTTCAAGAGTTACGAACGCATTTATAAAGCCCAAAAATATATTTGCCGCATTCTGTTTTTAAACACGAATTGCATAATGGCGAATTTATTCGTTGTGAATTTTTATTATATTCACCGTCAACTGGTTCGGTCTACTGCTTTGTGTATTTTCTAGTGCAAATTCGACTTTTTCTACAAAGGGTTTTGATAATCTGAAGCACTCAGGCAGTCGAATTTCTGAATATGAAAATGGCTTTGAACATCAAAATTGTACGCACATTTACTACAGTCCTCCAAAGGAACGTTGCCAAATGGGCTCAACATTATTGAAACAATTCAGCAAAGAGCGACTATACTGGCAAAATGATCTAGAAAGAGTTATTATAAAACTCTTGGCAACAAGAGGTTTGGCATTCTGTGGAAGTAATGAAACCATAGGTTCCTAGCACAATGGCAATTCGTTAGGAACATCAGAGATGCTGAGCGAGTTTGATCCATTCCTCGAAGAGCACATTGAAAACATGGAAATGCTGGGAAGGGAAATCCCTCATACATTTTTGCCAATATTTGTGAAAAAAATTTCAGCCTCATAGGTGATAAAGTGTTATCTGAAATCATTTTGGAAGTAAAAAAGTGAACTACCATTCACTGACTGTTGACTCAACTCCAGATGTATTCCATGTCGATCAATTAACGATTACAGTTTTATATGTTAAAGATCAAGCTCCAATTGAGATATTTCTGCAAGTTATCCCAATTCGTGGGCAGGGAGCAGAATATTTAGCTCTTATTGCATTAAGCTACCTGCAAGTGAAAGGCATTTTATTATCTGACCGTCGTGGACAGTTTTTGATAATGCATCAAATATGGCTGGACAGTATTCTGGTTTGCAGGCAAGAATCAAATAAATTAATAATCGGTTGTTGTTTTTTTCCTGCGCTGGACACTCCTTAAACCTTGTTGGAGACACGGCTACAAGAGTATACAGTTTACAAGTTGTGTCATATTTTGATTTTTTGCAGCGATTACACGCCTATTTTGGCTGCATCAACACATCGTTGGCAAGTGTTGGTTTCTTCTATTGGCCATGATTATAAGATTGTAAAACAAATATCTGGAACTTGATGTTCTGCATGTGCCGGCGCAACCACGGCTTTAAATAATAGCTGTGATGGGATTCAAACAGATCTTGATTCTTTGATCAATGATACTAGTCAAATAAGAGAGGCAATACATGATGCTGAAAATCTCAGTAAGAAGACGAACAAGTTTGTGGTAGTTTTCTTGCAATTTTAGGGAAATATATTCTTAGCTGTTTTAATGAAACAAGTAAAACTTTGCAAAAAGAGGATTTAAACTTATCTGTTGCTGTCCGTATTATTCAGTCATTTTTGTCATGTATTCAGAACTTAAGAAGCCAACTTGAAAAATATGAGTGACATTAGTAAACGTCCAAAATGTCTCAATAGTCATTACAGTGACATTAGTAAACGTCCAAAATGTCCCAATAGTGATTACAGTGACATTAGTAAACGTCCAAAATGTCCCAATAGTGATTACAGTGACATTAGTAAACGTCCATAATGTCCCAATAGTTTTACTAATGTCACTGTAATCTGTTCAAAATGTCCCAATAGTCATTACAGTGATATTAGTAAACGTCCAAAATGTCTCAATAGTCATTACAGTGACATTAGTAAACGTCCAAAATGTCCCAATAGTGATTACAGTGATATTAGTAAACGTCCAAAATGTCCCATTAGTGATTACAGTGACATTAGTAAACGTCCAAAATGTCCCAATAGTGATTACAGTGACATTAGTAAACGTCCAAAAAAAAAAGGAGTTGCTGCATCAATTCTTTGGATGTAGCTGCTAGTAACACTATTATTCAAGGTAGTCTTAAATTCAATGTTGAAACGTACTTACCAGTCATTGACTCAATGATTTCTAATATAGAAAAACGAACTGAAGTATACAAAGAATTCAAAATAATCATTTTGGATTCTTCAAGAAACTTAATGATATGGACTCTGCTGAAATTATTGAGAATTGTGAAAGGCTTGCCTTGATTTATAAAAGAGTTTTGGAGAAAGAAGAAATTATATATGAGTGTCAGCAATTCAAGTATGAGATATCAAAGGAAGAAGACAAACCATTTCCAGTATTTATGCAACATTAAAGCATGACAAACTAGAAGCAAAATTTCCTAACATTGAAATTGCTTTATGAATATTCCTATCAATGATAGTCACAAACTGCAAAGGCGAAAGATCTTTTTCAAAGATGAAACTTATTAAGAATGAGCTCCTCAGTTGCAAGATTGAATGCTCTCTCCTTGATGTCAATCGAATCAGATATGCTTCATAAACTCGAGTTTGATGACATTATTTGTGACTTGCAAATAAAAAACAAGAAAGAGATACGTATAGAACTGTAGATAAATAAAATGTTTGTATTTGTACTTAATAGTAGCTAATATATACAGAGATTCAATAAAAACATACCGTACTGTCTATATTGTATTTCTTTAAGTTTGACCTTTGTGGATGGGACCCCAATATCCTTAAGACGGCACTGCTGCCAGTATTATTATTATTACAGGGGCAACTACACAAGAAGACAGACCATCCAGTGAAGTGTGAAAGAACACCAATAACTTCTGTGACGTGCTTAGTGTTCGACAGCCCAGGGAGAACAAGAGTGTGGAACAACATAAGTGTGGTTTGCCATTCCAACGCTGAAGAATGTACCCCAGGAACTTCTTCAGAGCACAAAAAATATAAGCCTAGCACTAGTGGCCTTAGCAAAGAAAAACACAAACATGTTAGACAACTCGCCAAGCCTTAAAGCTCTCGGTAAACTATCACAGAGGGAACAAAGAAGATCGACAAAACAAAACAAACAACGTCAGACAGTACACTATACACAGATAAAAACTCAAAGACCAGTGACAGCAGTGCCTCAGATGAGAAAAGCAACTCTTCTGAATCTAGCAGTAATTAAGAAAACAACGAAAAAGGCAAGGAACCACATAACACATCTCAAACAATGACATAACACAAAACATACGAAATAAAAACACAAACACAGAACAAGAATTCAGAGACAGTAAATAAAAAATCCAAAAATAAGAACACCAAACAAAGCAAACAAATACAAGAAAAAACACAAAAGACACAGACTGAAACAACAGCAACGGAAGCTACTAACAAACCAAATTACACCATCATCATTAAAAGAATCCCAACTTGCAGCAGAGGTAAAAATAACATAAACCATAGGCAAAAATTTTACAAATATAAAGACTAGCTAAAGGTGGAGTTCTTGTAAGAGATAAAGAGCCTCATGACCTCAATGCACTACTAAAAGGATGCCCACAGAACGCCTTTCAACCCGGAAGAATACTTATTCATTTATCAGGAAGAAGCCCACAACAAAAGGCCTTTGTCGTAAGAGGTATTCACCAATCAATAAACCTCGAACAAGACAAAGAGGAAAGAACAGACGTGAAAATAGAGCATACAAAAAATAGAAAGAATAGTGTCTGCAAAAACCAACACATAAACAAATTTAAGTAACTATAGAAAGCACAGAAATTATACAAAAACACACCCAAAATGGATTAATAATATGGTTTCAGAAATACACAACAGAAGATGCTAAAACACCAGCAGTTGTAGTAATGCAGCGTTTTAACTGTCAAAGATATGGGGAAGTCGAAAATTCAACGTAGGAGAATATTCAGACAGCTAGCCAGCGACAATTTACCAATATGGAGTGTCTTCGATCTTTCACCACACCAAAATCA